ATGGTATGGCTTGCCATCAATAAAAGCAGAAGGATATGGGAGGAATTAGGTTAGACTTTCAAGGATTTTTCCAGGACCTCCTAATAAAAGCCATTCATTTTCCAGAATTTCCAGTGCTGAAAACTGTTAATAAAATTCCATGACCTGCATGAACCATGACAGACTGATACTTAAATACATGAGCTGATATGGTAGTCTATCAAGATAATACATAAAACAGCTTTATAATTAACTTGTTTAGCTTTAACTGAATGTAAATAGAAATAAGCAAACAAAACATTTTTACCACCAATTTAAACACTACTAAGAACATAAATATATTTAACAAAAGTTTCTTGAAGCACTTTCTCTTTATCTAGATTATGAAAAAAAACAGAACAAATATACAGTTTATCTTCAAGTAGAAATTTAATTTTGTTTATAAATGTAATACATGTTGTAAATGCAAATAACACTTGAAAAACTCACCATAGATTGTCTCTCATAATCTCCTCTTCCTCAGGTCCCATCTGTACAAGAAGCAAGGATCGAACTTTCCCAAGATGTCCTAAAAGTTCTTTAACATCTTCTTGGCTGCTGCTACCAATGATGTAAGAATTTTCCAAAGCATTCATGAGCTGAAGAAAGAAACAAAAGTATTATTATATTAATCACTTATTACATTGTGAAATCAGCTAAGTTCTCTTATTAATTTAAAGATGTAATTGTAAATTACAACACAATAATAATTAATGTTTTCTGTAATGGTATTTGGATTCCATAATGTAATATTGTCTGTGATTTACATAAAAATGTCATTAAAGTATAGATACTTATACTTCATATGCTAAGAAAATTAACATCAATAATACTGTAAGAAAAACAAACAGACCAATAATTTTCTAATTTGAACAAAAATATATGTCTACATACAATATGGTTTAATTTCATACAGCTATTTCTCACATATTAACTGTGTGAAAATTTAATGTCCAAAGCTGTGTTTCAAAATTTCATCTATTGTAGAATTAGGAATCAATGCATCTTTTTAAATTAAAAGTCACCAAAAAGAAAAAAATTATCAAAAGACCATATTTTTTGTGATTAATGTCTAGCACTATTCATTACTACTTAAAAGACAAAATACTATTTCATACCTGTCCAACACCATCATAGTTTCTCAACAACAAATTAAACATCTGACGAATTAGCTCTCGGTTTTCAATCTCTGATTCTTGTGCCCACCGTGTCAAAACAGCCACTATCTTCTTGGTGAAAATATCTTGAAAATAAATGGGAATTACATAACTCATTTTTTATATATATGGCAAATATATTTTTCATCCACAGTTCTACTCTTCTAAACACAATGTTATTGGAAAAGGTACAATTGGAATAAGATTACTTGTTTCCTTCTCTTCTATAACACCTATACCAAAATATACAATTTATTTATATACTTCAGTGGGGTATGTCAGCTGAATAATAGGAGATTTAACAAGATTTTTTTCTGACTTTGATTGGGTTTGGGCAAACAAAATAATGAGACTGTATAGAATCTAGCACACAAATATGGACAATATTTGCTAGATCAGCAACACAAACACATTGTGTGTACTTTCTTAGTATGCTGGACAGCCACTTTTATTGGATAGTAAGCTGTATACTATCCAAACTCTATTGATCAAGATTATAAACCAGACTGTTTAAGCCTAACATTACTCATTTCAAAATTAATGTTAGACTTACCAGTGTAACTAGCACTACCCATGTGGCTTCTCATCCTTGCACATCATATGCAGTTAGCTATTCTGGTATGTATCTAACTAATTCTAAAAAAAAATACTGTATTAAAGTAAGAAGATAGAAAATGCATGGTATTCTTATATACCACATTGCCAAGTTTTCAGTATTTATAGTAGGTAGAATAGTAATTTATGAAAAATATGAACAGTAAATCTTTCTAAGGACAATTAGTTTGATATGAATATACCACAGTAACTAATACCATTGTTAGTTAAGCCTAACAACCTTCGATAATCAACCGTATATCAGTACCACTAATTTGTTAAGAGGTAATCATTAGGCTTAATTCAAAGATTTCCACAGCATGTACTATTACATTAATTTATCTAAACTTATTTTTTTTAGGATTCACAGTTTAGTCAAATTCCTAATGAAGCAACAAACACAAAATACAGTAAGACCCTAATAAAATATTAATTTAATCAATGAATTTCTTCTATTAAAATTAGATGCTCGATTTTACTTCTTAGACACTAACCTTCTTGCGAGGGTTTATTTTCTTCTGATGCTTCTGTTTGATACTCTCCTGAGAAGCTAACAATATTCACTAAGGACATCAGCTTCTGAGACCAACGTTTATCTGGTTCTCCTCCATTACAGTTCTCTTCTTTGTCCTCTTCCTCTGCCTGTGCTACACAAAGCATGACTTTTTTCATCATTAATTCATGGAAGGACTTTAGTTTCTCTCGAAGGTTGTCACCACATGGGCACTGATCAGACTGATCTTCTTCCAAGTTCTTGAATGATAAGATGGCTCGCATCTATAATGTATAATAAGTAAAAGAGACAATTATCATTATTACTGTAAAACTGACATTTCTTAATAAAATCTTAAATTATATGTTAAACATGACTTTAAGAACATGAGATTTACCACTGTATAATCATGGGAAAAGTATTACTTACCTCACAGTTTTAAAATATCATTCAAAAATTCAAGGATATGCACAGAAAAATGTGACTGAAACTCTATCTCTAAGTGTAGAGAGATTACTATCTGTTAACCACTAATAATTATAACACCACCAAGACATTTGTTTAGAGACATTTTCATACTGCCATGCACAAAAACTTTAGTAATTTTGTACCTGTTCTTTTGGGGAGCAACGGAATTCCTTTGTCTTCTTTGCAGCTACAGATGATGGAAGGTCAGACTGCTTTATTTCTATATATCTTCTCAATTGGTCCTGTGGTATGATACCATTGTGATATACCAGAAATATGTAAATGTAGTAACTTACTATTATTTAAGGAGAACTGGCCAAAAACCTTGAACATTTCTCTATTTAAAAAACAAAGATAGAAGACACAAATTGACTGCAAAAACAAAATAATTCGTATTAACTGAAGCACACAAGTTTGATTTGGGGGTACTAAAATACTTGTATGTAACCTATAAAGCCAAAGCTACTCTGAAAAATTAAAATGTTTTAAACCATAAGTATGCACTAACTCAATCACTAATATTTATATCTAAGTGTTACATGTAAAAAGTGTATCAAAAATATTGAATACAGTTACCCACTAAAGTATGTTGTTAAATATGAAACTCTTGAAAAAAAAACTTACATCTGAAGCCTGTTAGAGTTGAGTCAGTTGCTAGTTTCGCAGTTAAACGTAATAAGCAAGTTTAGGACTAATACAGATAATTTTATCTCCTACTGCTTCCAAAATATGACCAACTGTTGGAAAATTAAATGTACATTGAAATAAAAAAAGATGCATATTAAAACAGCACAACTATTTAAAGCTTTACACTTTAGCAAACATTTTCTGTGTAAATCAGATCAGACTGTGTAGGAGGGTGAAGAATAAAACATATTGTGGAGTAATTTTTAAATTATTAATAATTTCCTAAGAAGTTTTAATGCTTTGAAGTTAGAATAAATCTTGTCATGAATTGGTACCATGATGAAGACTGATATTTTAGTAAAAATAATGTTAAGCAATGAGTCCACTGTATTTACTACAAAGCTGGAAATGTCATCGTAAACAATAAAAGAACCATAAAATATTATGTGTAAAATATAACAAATTAAACACTTACTCCCTGTAGTTGTGACACGTAATCATCACAGAAAGAAGCAATTGCTTCAACCCTATGTCCCAGCTGCAAGTCGTATAAATGGTGTATTAGGTAGCACATCTGAAGCTTTACTCCTTCAGCCAAGTTCATTTCTATCATGCCTTTTAATTTGTTTTCAGTTGCTGAAGATACAAAATTAAATCATAAAAAAAATTCTTACCAAAAAGTACTTCTATTACCTTCATGAAAAATTATTATAGTAATTCCACAACACTGTTTCCAGTTAAATGTCACTTATTTAAGCCATTGAGGAATTTTTTATAAATGATTCTTTAGTGGCATATTTTTAATGATTTAAGCAATTTATATAAGGAATACCTGCTATCCATGTTAAGGCTATACAAGCTTCAAATGTCTCAAAATGACTACATCATAGCTCACTTCCACTAGTCTTCATCAGTTTAATTAGTTTGTTTTATGATATGTACTTATTTTTCTGTCACAAACAAAAACAATTCTGCAAAGTAATCATAAACATACAAAACTTGTTATTGAGAATATCAACTAAGTAAAACTAAAAATATCTGTGTGCCTCTCTCAATATACATCTAATCAGATCATGATCTGTATTTATTTAAAGTATGTATATAGGTGAATACAAACAGTCTTCTTTAAAATCAGAAATATTTCTCCTTTTAATTTATGCTCAGTTACTCTTGCATAGTATTTTCACTGATATTGTACACAAGTCAGAGCAATAAGATATGTAAGAAATATATCCATAGTCTTCAATTTACACACACCATACAAAATCTCTACAACAAAATAACTTGTCTAACCTTCTACTGTGAAGTACTAATTACAGTGTACAAGAACCAGACAAAAATTAAATCCTATATTCTGAAAATAAACTAATATTATAATGGTTTTTTGCATACGTACAATGGACGAATATTAAGAAGCATTCAAATATTTCAAAAGATTACATGAAATAATTCTTAAAATTGCTTTAAACAGCATTGTACATTATACAAGTTGTCTAAAATGTTGATTGGAAATTATGTACAACATGATAAATAAAGAGTTTCTCAAGTTTTTCATGAATTTCTAGGTAATAACACCAATCCATGTAAAAGCCATTTACTTATTTATATCTTATATCCATAATACTACAAAAATAAAATTACTTTTTTTCCTCATCAAAATCATTACAACTGTCCAAATTTATGAAGATGTTTTAACCTACTCAACATATATACTTCTTCAGTTACAATAATTTCTAAGTTGTAATGCTACAAGTTAGATAAACATACTTTCATCATAATTTCTGTCAAATGTTTCAGGATCCAGGAGAACTAGCAGCCATTCCAAATCTTGGTTATCTAGTAGTCCAATTAATAGAAGTTTATCAACTAGTTTAAGCAGAGGGCTGAAAGAAAAATGACAAATAAAATCATTTAAGAATTCTTAATATGATATAAATTTGACAATATAAATAAGGAACTTGAACTGCTGTCTTTAATCTTCATAGTTAATAAAAACAAAATCAACCCACGTCATCAACTTTTTATACAACTCTTTTACAACTTTAAAAAGTTGATGGTGGCCATAGTAGAGTGTTCAAATCATCATTTTAAAAAACTAAAATGGTTACTTAACTAATTTTTACACTTGCCACTAAAAATGACCAAACATTTATTTTTATTGAAATTTTTACCAATTTCTAAAATTCAAACCAGACACAAATAAAAAAAATCCACAAAAAGTTGTGTCATTCATATTAAGAGAAATAGCACTTGACAAGGATTAAACTTCATGGAAAAAAACATCAAATAATTTTTCCTGAATAGTTGATGCATCTTTTAAAGAAATAATATATAATAAATATGCTTTTAAATGGTAATTTTTTTCATGGTTTTAAATACATCAGTCAATGTTATAAGGAAAAAAATGTAGGGCAATATTACACCAATATTTCTAACACAATTTGATTATCAAGTTTATCACCAAAGACTAATGTATAGTATTATCCCGAAATTTTTTACACACAATCACACTCATTTTTATAGAAAATAAAACTATTGTACAGCAATATTGTGATTTTTTTCCCACTCCTTGTCTGTTATGTTGAATTTTTTTTACGTCTTCTTATTTTTAAGGAATAACACAGACAAGGATTTTATTTCTTTTAACTGACAAACTTAATAAAATATGTAGTAGCTACAAAAATGGGGGTAAATATTTAATTCTCTAAGTTAAATATTTTACTTTAAAAATTCAAACTTTACACATATACATTTCAGTATGTATGGTGTCCAAGGTTAACAATGTAATAAGCACACAGTTATCTGATAATGCAACAACATTGGCTTACAAAATAGGTTTAGTATTTAATAAAGGTGAAATAAATGAGACAATACATGACATGAGTTAAACTGAACAAAAACTTCTTATTTACAAGATGACAAAAGAATGGACTGAACAGTAGTTGATCACGTAGTTGGAAAGGACATTGACATAGTTTGAAGAGTACAATGAGGCAGTTACAATTGAAGAGAACAATAAACGTAGCTGTATTTCAATAAAAACTGAGTAAAGAAAATTGTTATCATTGTTGATATTCATGTATGTTAGGCAGTTGTCAGAATAAAACCAAAGCAATAAACATGAGACTTCAACAGGAAGTCTTGACTTATTTGGTGTCAAAAATGAATCTTCTTGAAAAATGCCAAAACTATTTGCATGATTCATATTCTTTCAGTAGCTGAACAATCACAAAATTAGATCACAAGTATCCAAATGTATTGCTGCTCCACATGATAGCCATAAAGTAGAACACAATACAGCTATCCTCAAGTGAATCCTGCTACAGTGTGGAATTATCTATAACACAACACAGCTATCCTCAAGTGAATCCTGCTACAGTGTGGAATTATCTAGGACACAACACAGCTATTCTCGAGTGAATCCTGCTACAGTGTGGAATTATCTAGGACACAATACAGCTATTCTCGAGTGAATCCTGCTACAGTGTGGAATTATCTAGAACACAACACAGCTATTCTCCAGTGAATCCTGCTACAGTGTGGAATTATGAATGTGGTATATATAGATAAGCATATCTTAATTCTTAACCACCTTATTTTAATAATGTATTCTTCAAAATTATCAGTTATTCTGTTATGTGCATTTTTACATAACATGTGGTAAAGAAAGCCATTAAGTTGCTTTAATTCTAGCTGCCTATATTCTTTGCCATTCTCTTGAGGTAACACCTGGTCTCTGGTCTGTTCAAGAGAGGCATGGCTGTAATGCTGCACATTGTGCAAGAACAGTGACAACAGTGTTCTCCAATGGTAGGCCTGGTGATGTATCAAGGTTACAGCCTCCCTTAAGTTTAAATGAAAATGATCATGTAGTTGGTGCTAGTCACTCCACACAAGCCCAACATTAACTTTGAAGTAAATAATGTAAACGATCTCAGCCAATTCAGTTAGACAGAAGTTATCTCCGATCCAGTAAAAGCAACCATCCATTGTCAAACAAGCAAGTACACACACACACTGTGGTTGTGTTGTTGTGAATAATAAATAGTGTTCATTTGTGTTCTACATTATGTCCTATATCTTTATTTCATTCTCATGAACTAAATTATTTAGAGAAATTAAGAACAAATAAATATCTTAAAAAATATCCTGTTGTTCAATGGTTCTATCTCATCACTCTAAGGAAAATCAATTTCACCTTAAAATACCACATCAACTGGCCTCAACTAGGTTTACTATGTTCAGACATGAGCCTGGGATAGAAAACTATATCTGAACAATATGTCCTGGGACAGGCTACTCCCAGAAACATTAGGTTTCTGGATGCTCTGAAGTGCTATCTGGGAATATTTTGAGGTCTAATTGGGAGTTCATTTAGGAGTATGAAAGCTGAAATAAATCACAGACAAAACAGCAAAAAAAAGTATATTCATTCACTTCATCTTTATTTTTTAATCTGTGACTGTTTGTTTTTTACAGCAGGCATCATCCCTAATCACAATTAGCTTAAGCCTCCCTGACAAAAATTAATGTTTTTTAATATCTTGATCAATAAGGGGATACATAGGGTAACTAGGCATAAGTTACTGATATTCACTATGATTCAAAGAAATCACAGAAAAGCTCATGCCTGCATGTTCCAAGTCAGACCTTTAGAAACATTTTAAACTTTTGTATGGTATGACATATGTATATCATAGAAGAGTAAAATAGATAGTAATTGCATATACTACATATGTATGTATAGCAGATTCTAATATATTTAAGAGTTAATTCCTTATTAAGTTTAACTGAATAAAGCTTTTAAAGTTGATTATTACTTGAATGGTAAAACCTTTTCATTGCAATGCAGTTGAAAATATAAAATAAATATTCATTAAAAATAACTAACAAAAAGTCATCCATTAAGAAATGACATTACTGAACATTCCTACAATTATACAATAAAACTATTTATCACAAAAACATATATCACATCACTCTTACAAGCATACAGATGTTTCTGAAATTTAGCATAAAATATTTGCACTTACACAAAAAGATTTTCATTGGTTCCACCTATAGGATCACGGTTTGGACGGTTTCCTTTACGAACAGCATCATCCAGAGCTTCCATGATAAATTGTTTCAGTACATTAACAGGGAAATATGGTGTGCTAAGACTCTTAATAGATTCAATCTTCTCCCTACAGAATAAACATGAAATAGATTGAACAAGTAGATTTTCTTTCTTAGTAAATCAGCATAGATACTAACATGATAACCTCACTTTGTACGCGTACTTTGATTTAAGTCCTATAGGAATATTATAACTAAAATAATAAGTTATTTTAATTGAAAAAAGAAAGTTGAATATAGCAATATTTTTAGATAAGAATTTATTCCATGCTTACTTTTACAATACTGAACATAAAATCAATTTTAAAACTGTAAAGTCAATGATTTAATTTCCCAAATCATTTACTAGTTCACAAGAATTGCCAATGAAATTAATAAGTTGAAGATACTGTAATGAATAGAAAAATAAAAACACTATGAAAACATGTTACTTGTTTTAAATTACCTGAATCTTCTATCAGAACAGAAGTATTAATCACCATAAAAATTGAAAAAGTTAACAATATTGTAATGAGTATAAATATTAGAAAGTTAAAAACTACTTTTCATACTTGTTAAGTCAGTGGCTCAAATTGGCTGAATGTTTTACTAGTTTCCAAGAATCACTATAGAAACTAAAGAAGTTAAAGATATCATACAGAATAAAACTATTAAAATACTAAAGGGTTTAAGAAATTATGAACTTACAGGTTGTGACACCACACACTTCCTTGATGTATATATACATATTGGTTATAACTAGTGACCACTACTGAGTCTAACTCAATCATCTCATGTGAACTATTAAAATACTAAAGGGTTTAAGAAATTATGAACTTACAGGTTGTGACACCACACACTTCCTTGATGTATATATACATATTGGTTATAACTAGTGACCACTACTGAGTCTAACTCAATCATCTCATGTACAACATATTTATCAACTGACAGTACACTATATGGAAAGTAACTCACAATTATCTGGGGGTGCTATGCATTCACATAAGGCTCATTCATCTAAACAGGTTAAATACATACTTACGGGGTAGGACTCATGGTCATTTGAGGTCTAATAGACACACACTCTAAAGCAGAAAATGAGTTGGCAAGACCGGGGTTTTCGTACATGATTCGGATCTCTGACCCCATTGGGATGATGAACTCATTCTGGGTTAGGCTTCTGTGAACAAAGAATTTAAACAATGCTTGTATCATAACACTGTTTATTATTTATAACCTTCTACGAATTACCTACATGTTTTCTTCCTTGTAATAAATACTAAATACAATACTGTAAAGAAAATAATGAGTTGTAACTTCTTTACGTAACTCCTGTGATTGAAGTCCAAATAAAGATATTTTATGAAAAATTGTAACTGAAAATTCATCCAAAAGAATATCATACAGAGCAAACTTAAACATTACAAGTTGTACACAGCTTACTTATAGGTTCACTGTTATATCTTCTCAGAAGAAATCAGAGAAAAAATACAACCATTCTACTCAGAAATGCTAAAGTATTAAGAAAAATCATACGGAACCTGTCCAGAAATTTAAAAATACAAACACATAAACAACTGTAATTACTATATCAAGCATGTAGAACAAAAAGGCCATAACAATTAATCATAATTGGCTGCTTGCCTTGCATAAGCATGAAATTCTAGATGTAGTGCAATAAGCAGATCAGTAAATGCTGTTCGTAGTGGACCAGACATATATTCTGACTGGATGGCATATAACAATTGTTTGGTGTCCACATGGGAGCAAATGATGTGAGCTGCTCTATGGTTACCTTGAAAACACAGAGCACCATACAAGGCAAGAGTATGGGCATGGAAACTATACAAAATAAAACAAAAGTCTATTGTTTAATAGAGCTATAAGCTTAAAAGTAACTTAACCTTTCTACAAAAGAACAAGTACAAATGAAATAAATATGAACAATTTACACCTGAAAACAATAAACTTTGTTTATGTAATGTTCACTGTTGATGGAGTCCATAAACTACATCATAATGAGTCATTTTAAGGTTTTTCATGCCATAACACACAGTGAAGAACTGGCCAAAATTAATAAATGAAATCACTCAGTTTTTATGTAAAAATGCATAAGCAGAATTAATTACAAAACCTTATTATTTTTACTTACATTTTTCTTGTGTGATAAAAGCATGCAAAAACAGTCTTGAAAAATGTGTTTATAAACCTGACATGTTCAAACTAATCTGTAATTCTAAGGTTAGACATCATATAATACAACACTAAATGAATAAAATTCTAAATTGAAAATTTTTGATGGATGCTTACTAATATCATAACCCTTGAAAATGTAGTAATAATGTAAATATTAACTTCTTGTAACCCTATGGACATAGTTGAACCATAGGCTTGGTCATTTTGACCATGTAACTATACGTACTATAGTTCTGAATGTATTATGCTTATCTACATGAACTTCATCAAGTGTTTAGTAAAAATTATAAGTTTGTTGTAAAAAACCAGTTTTAATAAACTATTTTTACTAAAGATTTGTCTGTGAACTTACAAAGCCTTTACTGAATATGAGTGCAAGATGATTTTCATGCTACGAATAAAATTACTTCTTTCAATCTTACAGTTTCATATTTCATTTGTATAAGCTCTAAACCTCCTAAATGAATAATAAAAGTTTGTTATAGGTGTACTTTGACCCAGCTGTATCAATAGGGCTAAGTTCTATTCAAAATTATTATGATCATCCTTTATAAATTATCACTGTTATTAAACCTAAAACTAATGCTTTTCTTTAAAAAGAAGTTTTTAAATGAAAAAATAACACAGAATCAATAATATATATATACATGTATTAACTTTAATGTTAAAAAAGTCACATGAAAATGACATATCACCACAAGCTTTCTTGAGGTCATTCACATTAAAAAGTGTTAAAACAGAAATGAAATATAATTTCAAGTTTCTTTTCTATAATTTTTGGCAAAAATTTATGGCCTGGATATTTGAACAGAAATGAATAATTACTTTGTTTAATAAATCTAAAACCAAAAATTAAACCTTAATAGCTTTTCAAATTCAATTAGCTCCAAGATATCAACACAGCGATCCTCTTCAGGAATATGGATAGCAAGCATACAGACTGGATCTTCACAAAGCATGCTCCAGCCACGAATGTCTGACAGTTTCAGAGCATGCGGTCTCAAGGACTGATTTGGAACTCGAGCCCACTGAAAAGACTGAAGGCACTGGACCTGTTGTGTATATATTAAAGCCTGATAAATATTTTGTACAGGTATTTATTAAAGTATCTTAAAACCAAAATCACAGTAGTTAACACTAAAGATGCTCATTTTCAACTGTATGCCTTGAAAAAAATAAAATAGTGTGTAATATGAAAACACTAATCGTGTGATAATTTATGTGAAAATTAGTTCTAGTTTTGACTGGAGATAGAATTAGTTAACATGTTAATTTTTTTTTACTTTTATGGACATTTGTAGATAACCTATTTGCTACTATATATAATCAAAACTCACAATTCACAACAAAGACAAAATTGTGCAAACATATTACCTTTAACCTAGGAGGACATTGTGGGCTGATATGTTTTTCTGTGCTGTGTAGTAATGCTGCTGACAATGGGAGTGTGTCGGTTGTTCGACCCAGTTCAAATTGAAGAGAGTCTTTACTGGTAGCCTCAAAGAAAACAGCTGGAAAGAGCTTGGTGCCAGACTCCATCTGTAAACAAATTCAAATGGTTTAAAAGCTAGTTACTTATTGAGATACCATAGATGTTCATCAAATTTTAGAGAGGCAAATTTTGAAATGGTAGAAGTTACCTTCTTATACTTAATAAGACATTGTAGGAAGTTAACATCATTGCAAGGAGCAAAAATGGTGTCAGGAGCAGCAAACCATGCCCTAAGATGAACTCAAACAACAAATATGTAGATGTCAGAGAGTCCACATTCTTCACAGCAAGTAGACTTAAAATTGTCCCATAAACATCCAGCTCTATAGGGCATATAATGTCTTGGCCATCCATTGTGCATAATGCAGTACTCCATATGCTATAAATCCCACTCCATGAAGAGAGATGCTATCAAGTAAGGCTATGACTAATTCAAAAAGCTCTCAAAAATCACCTCTAGATGGGCTAGCCTGAGTTTGTCTTGTAGTAAACACAACAACTGACATTGTCCTTAACTTCCTTTATGGCTTCTCCTACTTCATTATGGTCAGCTTCAATTTCATAACTGGACTGGTATATGTATTGTCGAGATTGCTAAAATTGATTGAAATATCTGGAATAGAGGAAAACCTCAAACAGTCTCTGGAAACTTTTGACAGGACAAGTTCTAAGATATGTTGCCAGCATGCCAAATGCAGAAGATTCTTATTTAATCTTTGTTCTAACAGCACACATGCTCTATTTTTGTGACCAGTGTTGCTTGCTGTTGTGTAAAAGCAAAATGCCTTTACACAATCTATAACTCCCCACTCTTCCAGCAAATGTGTCACAGCAGAAGGTCGCGCTTCTCCAATGCTAGAAATCAACTTGTAAACACTTAGAAGTCAGTTTACTCCTGCTCCAAATAGGATCAATGGCAGATGATCCATTTGTTCTCTCCCTGTAAGATCATTAAGGAGCTTGCCACTGCAGTGAACTACAAGTGAAACAGTTGACAAGTTCTTCATGAAACAATATTGACATCTTTAGATTGAAAAAATGCTGATGGTTAGCTCTTGCACATCATAAACAAGGCTGTAAGTTGTGGTAGTAAGGACAAATGTTGCCTTCCTGTCACTCAGCTTGGTTCTCTCCATAGCTTCTGCTAAATCTGGTATGATAATATTGCCCTGTTTTTAGGCTTAGAGAATGATGATTCTCCAATTGCTCCTCTATCCTCATCACTGTTATTAATACTGTATCTACCAACCTCATCATCACTGGTATGAGATGATTGCCAACAACTGATAGTTTCATTCAAGGTTCCTGCTCTGCATGCCATTTCCTGTCCATACTGTCCAAATTTCAACTATTTTGAGTAAAATTTGATGAAAATTAATTTTTATATATTGAAACAAAATGAAGAGGTAAGAGTATTTTAAATTAAAACTTCAAAAATAAGGATCACCGTAATGGACAATATTAGGACATATTAACTATCATTTAGATTTAACAGCTTGAAAAATTATAACCTAAAAAATGAAAACTGTATATTATAAAATCATTATGCATAGTATATATATATTTATAACATACAGTTTGTCTAAACCAATGAATGCAATTTTTAAACTATCTCATCATAAAATTTTAACAGAGTTTTCACTAAATTCATCTATTCAGACAAAATGTAAGGTACCATTGAAAATAATAAAGGATATGAACATACTTTGAACTTGTGTTTTGTTGATTTTCCATCAGCAGTAAATGTAACTATTCCAGTAGAGACATCGATGTGACAACCCACATACATTCCCTGGTTTGCACTCCGAGCACCAGCTTCACTCTGGTTAACTTCTGCATGAAGTTGTCCAGCACACACCATGTAACAGTTCTGTCTTTCCAAACTGTAAATATTAAGAGCAGGTTTCATGATTTACCAGTATAATTAAATTTAGACAGAGTTAAACTTTAAATTTATCTGAAAAATTAAAAGCAGAAAATGGCTCAAATAAAAAAAAATTTCAACTCTAAGCAACAAAGACATATTTAGTCAATTAGAGCATGTAAAATGATTTACTTGGCAAATTGGTATTATGAATGTACATTCTAAATGTCTTCATCTACCAGTGTATGAGTCAAGAGACATTTTTGATGGATTGATTCCAATATAAAGCTTTCTGGTACTTTTTTTGCTTTGTAATTCTGAATAAAGATTTGAATTCCTTGCAATCAGTAATCTGAATTGCCCAAAAGAAGGACTGAATACACACTAATTTCTAAGCTATGAGGTAGTAACATTAACAACTCCAGTCAAAGTCCCACATAAAATTTGTAGCGGCCACATATGCTGCATGGTAAAAGATCAGGTTTCTTAGCCATACAGTCATTTTCTCTGCAGTTTTTATGTGTTCTATTGATAGAGATGCTAGGAAAGGCTCAATAAAGCTTATATTTGTCACTGTAAGGTAGCTAGGTGAAGTGTAGTAGAAACACAGTTCAACCAACTCCCTTGAACCCTGCCTCTTAGTAGCCAAATACTATTGTGAGATAAGTTTTTCTGGCAGTACAGTATGTAACTGTTTAGGTTAACAGTTAGAGTTCTTTATCAAAGTATTTTTTTATTTTAACATAAATACTAAGAACTATGACACCCCCTCTGTTCCCACCCAAACCCCTGAATAACAGACCAGGTGTCTAAACAAAGGTAATGTGACATATATGAATGAGGTATATAGAACTTTCAGCACTGATTTAAGTAAATAAAATAATCAACAGACAAAGAATATCTAACCATAATGTACAAAATAGTTTCAAAGATACCAAGAAATGCCATACATTTAAGTGCTACTTTCAACAAATATACTTCAAAAT